TGCTCACTTACATCTTGGGTTTAGACTTTTTTTTTGGGGGGGGGTCTGGTCATGGGGCCTGAACTCTGGATCTGGGCAGCTGTCCCTCAGCTCTTCAGCTCAAGGCTAGCGCTCTACCACTTGAGCCACAGCACCACTTCTGGCTTTTTTCCTTTTTCTTATGTGGTGCCGAGGAATCGAACCCAGGGCCTCAGGCATGCAAGGCAAGGGCTCTACCACTGAGCCACCTTCCCAGCCCCCTGGGTTTAGACTTCTAGACATTCAAAAAATATCTGTCAAGGAGGCATAAGAGTTGTATGGGTCACTTCACTTTCTCTTAACAGACCCTAAAGATATCCAAGTAACATTTTCACACATCCTTACCACAAAACTACATAACAAAGTTTTATAATAAACGTATCTGGTTGAACTACACTGTCAGAAATCATGTTTTGTGTGCAAATGCTAGAAAAAAAGCAAATCTAAAACCTGCTGCCGAATTGGAAAACATAGAAATGTTTTGAACCAGAGGTATTTTGCCCCAACTATAGATTTCTTCATAGTTGCTTAAGATGTTAAATTTTAAAGTGAAGAGAACTGAACTCAATTTTAATCCACAGCAAAGCAAAAGTAACATCCATTTATTAAACAACTATGTGCAGAACACCATACTTCATGCTCCTCAAGATTTACGGCTGGATAGTCACATTGCTGGAGACCATAAAGGCCTGGGAAGATTCAAAGAGGAAAGTAACAACTGTGCATTAATGGTATGAGGTTAAAGGCTAGTAAGTCACAAACAGTTAAAATAGCACTGAAGAAAATAATTTAGATCTGGTAGATTAGGACTGAAGTAATGAACCCAGGTAGCAGATGAGGTGCAGCAGCAGGAGAAATGGCTGGCTCTCCAAGGGAGCAAACTGAGGGTCAGAGTAGATCATGCCATGGTCTTCCACCATGGTCTTCCTCTTCTCCACAGTGGCACTGTAAATACCAAAAGCTTCCCAGACCTACTCAGTATTCTCAAGTCTTAAGTGCTGCAACTAGACTGCAGGTCCTGTCCTTCATTGCACATGCATGCAGCAGGAGCTGCAGCCTCTCTAAGGCTGCCACCATGGCTGCTGAGATTGTCTAGGGGAGTCAGGAGGATGACTGAGAGTGCCTGAGAGAGGAGACAGCAGGTATTTGGTATTTGGACAAGTACTTGTCCAACAGATGTAAGATGAGCAAGTAGAATGATTTCAGAAGACTGAGAAAGCTTTGGGTAGTTTGGTCTTCTGAGAAGAATCCCAAGAGATAAGTGTAAGTGTTCTGAACACCAAGTTTTACTAGGTAGCTCTTCAAATGTTCAAAGACCATTACCAGCCTTATTACTCTGGGGCTACACATATAGCTACCCATCTTACAAGGTTTTTGTTTTTGTTTTGTTTTGGTCAGTCATGGGGCTTGAACTCTAGGCCTGCACGCTGTCCCTGAGCTCTTCAGCACAAGGCAAGTGCTCTAACAGTTGAGTCACAGCACCACTTCCAGTTTTCTGGTAGTTCATTGGAGTAAGGGCCTCAGGACTTTCCTGCCCGGGTTGGCAACTCAGCCTCCTCAGTAGCCAGGATTACAGGCATGAGGCCCTGGTGTCTGGCTCTTAGGACTTTTGTTCTTTTATTTTCCCCTCACAGTGACAGGACCTGGTGCATGCTAGACCAAGTATCTTTCCACTGAGCTATATTCCCAGCCTCCAACTTTTATTCTTTAGCCCAAAATTATCACAGTCTGCACCCCCTCATGCATCATGGGAAAATACTACTAGATGGCATTCTACAACAGTAAGAACCACCACTGTGAAGCACGCATGTTGTAAGCACTTGACAAATGGAACTCCCAACAAGCTTAGGAGACAGGCACCAGTCACAAGAGTACAAAACATGGCAACTAAAAGAAGAGCTGGATAGGAACCGTGCTTTGCTAAGAAACTACCACCTTTAAAGGAAGGACTATTCAATAACACTGTACTAACTAGGATTTGTAGATTAACAGAACCAAACAATGTAGGAAGGACACTTCAAGTATCTCAGTTTACAAGAGAACCCCTGAGCTGCTTTGGTCCACAAGCAAAACAGACTCTTAAAGTCCCAAAGATCTCCAAGTTTCCACACTGGCAGCCAAAGCAGTAACACCTGTTCAGCCACACAGATCTGCCCATGACATGGCTAATCACCAGGAATATTTATTAACCATGAGTCACATAGAAGAACATCAAGCAAAAACTGGCCCACATTTTCTTGTTCTTTCATTAACACGAAACAATACGTTTCCACATAACTGAATCAGAAGCTGGAAATTAACACACACACACACACACAAACAAAATAAAGCCTAGCACAGGAAAATAGACATGTCAACAGGGTAGTTTGTCACTGTACCGACAGAAATCTATATAAGGGACAGTCTGTATAAGAAGCCAATTCTTAGTGATTTAGACTTTAAATAAAGCTATCTGTCATTTTCCAAGAATACCTGTGTTCTCTTTTAATGTCCCACTGTGCCTAGGGGAAAATCTGCAACTGAACACAAAGATGAGCAGAGAAGCCTTAACTGTAACCCCACCCCTACTACCACCCAGCTGTATGTATGAGCAGAATCCTTCCCTCATGTCTAACATGAATGTTTTACCCTTTATAGCTTGAAACACCAGTCAAGTTTTTATATATTATTATATAATAATATAACTTGGAATCTTTTTTGGTGTTTGAGCCAGGGATTTTTTTTATGCCTGCCAGGCTAGCCTAAAACTGATAAACCTACTGTCTTCAGCCTTTCAAGTGCTGGGATTACAGGCATGGGCCATCATGCCCAGCTTTGAGATTCCCCTCCACTGACAGAACAGTACCACCACCTCCCTTAGTGAGCTACTGAGGTTTATGAGACAGAGAACAAAGAATAAAGTAGTTCCCTTCTCCTTAAAATACGTAACTACACTCCAGACACGAGTATTCATACCTATAATCTTAGCTATTCAGGAGGTTGAGATCTAAAAACTGATGTTCAAAGCCAGCTTGGATAGAAAAGTCTATACTTTTTCTTTTTGTCCATGGTGGGGCCCGAACTCTAGACCTGGATGCTGTCCCTCAGCTCTTCAGCTCAAGACTAGCACCCTACCACTTGAGCAACAGCGCCACTTCTGGCTTTTTTCTGCTTATGTGGTGCTGAGAAATCAAACCCAGGGCCTTGTGCATGCGAGGCAAGCACTCTACCACTGAGCCACCTTCCCAGCCCCAAGTCTACGAGACTCTTATCTCCACTTAACTAGCAAAAAACCTGGAAGTGGAACAGTGGCTCAAGTGTGAAGAGCACCAGCCTTGAATGAAAAAGCTACAGAACAAGAGACCAAGTTCAAGACCCAGTACCAGAAAGCAACAGCTACACAAGGCCCAAACTTAAGTTCTGTATTTTAATTCCAAGGTTTGAGAACAAAAAAAAGCCAGAACTTCCAATAATACAATTACCCCAAAAGTTCAGATTTTTATGAAAGTGTAAAAGGATAGAGGTGAAGAGTATGGTCCAGCAGTAGGTGGGGTGCTTGTCCACAAGTACAAGGTCTGATCTCCAACACTGAGAAAAAGTCATACAAATATTAATAAAATTTACATAAATATTGAAGTATTTAGATGTTTGCAAGTCAGTTCCCCCTTCCTAAACATGCAGTAAAGGTGATGTTCTCAGCTGCATGCAATTTGACCATGACCACCTAATGTTCTACTAGTTAACTCTAGTACTAAGGCTCTCATTTGGTTAGCTGGTTTTGACTAAGCTGGAGATTGCAGCTCGCAGAAGGTAGAATTTTACTGAAGAAAATGTACTGACTTGAGTTCTAAAATTACAAACAGTATCTTTTTTTTTTTTTTTTTTTGGTCCCGTCGTGGGGCCTGAACTTTGGGCCTGGGCGCTGTCTAGCGCTCTACCACTTGAGCCACAGCACCACTTCCGGCTTTTTTTTTGGCTTATGTGGTGCTGAGGAATCGAACCCAGGGCCTCAAGCATGCAAGGCAAGTGCTCTACCACTGAGCCACCTTCCCAGCCCACAAACAGTATCTTTTAAAACTATAAATACCTCAAGTACATCTGAAAATCCTCTGAGATTTATATTAACATCTAGTTCTGGAACTGAATGATTAAAAATCAGGTGTGCTCTACACAACTCTTGGATAAGAGACATATAATAAGCCAGGCGCCGGTGGCTCATGACTGTAATCCTAGCTATGTAGAAGGCTGAGATCTGAGGATCATGGTTCAAAGCCAGCCCGGGCAGGAAAGTCCGTGAAATACTTATCTCCAATAAACCACCAGAAAACCAGAAGTGGTGCTGTAGCTTAAGTGGAAGAGTGCTAATAAGCCTTGGGACAGCGCTCAGGCCCAGAGTTCAAACCCCACGACTGACAGAGAGAGAGAAAGAGAAAGAGAGAGAGAGAGAGAGAGAATAGTGAGCTAAAATTACTTCGTGTGCAGTACAGTGGCATAAACCTGAGGGTCCAAAAACTAGGGACAATGAGGAAGGAGGAGCCCAGAAATATAGGCCTTCCTAGGAAGTACTGAGACCACCACCTCAAAAAAAGTTTAAATATTCATTATTTAAATCCACTAAACAAACGAATTCTCCTTTCTATCAAGGGCATGGATCCTAATGTACAACAGAAGGTGAGTGCTCAATACGCCCTACATACGATCACATCGACCTACAGTACCTCCAAAATAACAAGACTTTATATAAAGGTTCCAGTAGTGCATGATGCACTACATGTTTAAGGCAGATGCTCTTATATCTTAAGATCTAAATATACCTTTTCCATCAAATTTTCTGAAGCTGCTTAAGAAAATTAAGAAAAACCTTTTTTCCTTCTGAATTTATGACTTCTACTCCATTCCTTCCCTTAGGCTTCTCCTCTAGGAAGCACAGGGCAGAGGGCAATCTCCTCCCACCCCCACATGTTTTAAAGGCAGGAGGAAAGAACATGTACAGAATGAAGATATACAATCAAAGCAAGATCCATTCTTTATGAACACATATGCTCACATATCTCGATAACAGGTCTGTTACACAAGATTATCCATTTTACAGATTCTGAAACCAAGTTGTTCAAAAGGAGAATTCTGAAATCATGGTTGATGTAGCAAATGAATATATTCAAACTAAGAAAAACTTCATCCAAACATTTACATGTTAAAAAGACATTTAAAAATAGACTACTTATTAAGTGTGCTTGAACAAACCATGTGTGGAATTGAATTCCATTTATTATGGAGTTAGATTGCTGCTAAATTCTGACTGATGCTATATAGTACACTCCTGGCAGTTGAAGATTTAAGTTTCAACCGTTCCCACTCTATACTAGTTTAAATGTCAGAGATGGAAGAACTGCTATGTGTAAGGCAAGTGACTTGAGGGTGAGAAGGGCGGCTGGAGCCCAGTTCGGCCTTGCGATTGCCTGTGCATGACCAGGTATTCAAGAAGACTCCACAGGCCATTTAACATCTCGTAATCACACCTTACTGCACTATGCTCTAGTAGTTTCAAAAACAGATATTCACTAAAATGCTTTGGAAAATGTTTCCTGAAAAATAAGAAGGGTCTCTTATATTACATTAAGCCAGAAAACATGCAGTTACTTAGACCCCACAGAACTTTTTCAAAATAAACACACAGCCCAATTAAAACTTACTTTATATTATAGGAATAGAAAGTTCATAGTCCAGCAGTTCATATATATATATACATATATCCTTGGCCCCTCTTGCAAAGTAATTAACAATTATACAGAAACTCATTGTCATTGGTTTTGGCTCAGATGTTTAAATAAACACATCAACAGCTTAAAAAAGGTTTTGTGTATCTTGTTTTGCCTCTGTTTTCCTCCTTTGGGTGTGTGGGCATGAGTGTGTGTGGAGGGGATTGTACCAAAGAAGATGAGATTAAGGAGAGGTCAAGAACTGAAGAGCCTTTAAAATTTCATATACAAGTATGGCTTAAAGACAGAGGGGAAATCCTCTTATTTACTCATACTAAATTTTACCTTTTATCTAGTTTGACAGTAATGCCAAACTTAAATTTACTACACCAAGGTAAAGAATAACTCTAAGATTTTATAAAGTCCAATTTAATTTGGTTCCAACGTCTTAAGTGCTTGAATTTTCCCACAATAACCAAAAATAGATATGTCAATAACCAACATCCCTTCCACTCCCCCCAAAAATCAGATCAGAAACAACTAGTTTAAAACTTTTCAATTCATGTTTTTGTGGGCAAGGACTAGTTGAAATGCATCTCTGCCCTATCATTTGCTCTGCTTAGTTGGCAAAGCAAGACAACTTTTCAGATGGAACACTTTTCTCCCTTTAAAAAACAAAACAGACCATTAGAATAGGTCTCATCATTCCAGAGCTTGTCCCGGGTCAGAAATAAAAAACAATGGAGGACACAACAACTCAGTTTGCACAAATGTACTACTTTTGTTTTGTCTTTTTTTAAAAAAGAGGCAGGGTTAAACTATGTATTCCAAAGTCAGCAAAATTTTCATATTTCACAATTTTGTTGCTAGAATTCCCAAATTCCTAAAGTTTGGTAAGTTTTCTCGAGGTGTGCATTATTGCAAACAGCAGCAGAATACCAAAACAATTCTATTGCTAATGAAGCAGCTACTCCTGTTCATGCCTTTAGAATACTTCTTATAGCAGAGCAACAACAAACTGCTAATTTGAGCCTCAATCTAGATGGTTCCAAGGAAGAAACAAAGTATTTCCTTAAAATAGTTCAAGGTGAGACTTCATAAGAGCAAATATCCAGAGTTTGGGGACAAAAATGAGAAAATGTTAAAAAGAGACAAGAACACTATATTTAGTATTCTAAAGGCAGATTTCAGGTAGTTCAACAATGATTATGGTAACACCAACTGCTCACATACACACGCACACACATAGATTTTAATGGTTTAAAAAAAAACCAAATTTGTTACTTTTAGAAAAATGAATGCAGTGCATTTTCAGCAATATTATTGCCACAGACTCTGATTGCTCAGTCCACACATAAGTAGTAGTTGCCTTCTATGGTGGTATGACTTCTCTGCACTAATTCTCATCGGGCGAGAAACATTAGGGCAGGGTAAGTACAGACTGAATTGTTGCACAAAGGAACATTTACTCATCAGATCCCACCGATCTCTTCTGTGCCCGCTTCCTAGGCAGCCTTCTTGGTGAAGCTTTATCTGGAAGAAAACAAACGCTTTAAGCTTGCCTGATTATTCTAACAACAAGAATAACAAGAAAAATTTATAAGTGTTTTCCTTCAACTTTATCACCATGTTAAAAAAGTACATATACATGCATGAATACATCTAAGGGCAACTCCAATTAAAAGAGTGTGGTTACTGTGCTGCTGCAAACACCATACAGAATCACGAATTCTGTAATTCAACCTGTTTATACATGCATAAATTAATCCTTTAAAAATTTTAATGCAGTTATTCAGTTTGTACAACTTTGGCAATTTAATAAATTTACCTGGACTAGCAAGTAGAAAAAAAAGAAAATTAGCAGTTCTTGGGCTGGGAATGTGGCTTAGTGGTAGAGTGCTTGCTTGCCTCACATGCACGAAGCCCTGGGTTCAATTCCTCAGTACCACATACACAGAAAAAGCTGGAAGTGGCGCTGTGGTTCAAGGGTAGAATATGAGCCTTGAGCATAAGAAGCTCAGGGACAGTGCCCAGGCCAAAAAAAAAAAAAAAAATTAGCATCTCAGTATCTTTTTTTTTTACATCTCTTCATTTATTTCCCAAAGGAGACTCTTCATAAGGTTTACAGAAAATAAATGCGTTGTGCTTCTTCTATTTCCATTCCATAGAAGAATAGTCTTCCTTAAAAAGTGAAAGAAAGGCTGCTGGGCACCAGTGGCTCACACCTGTAATCCTGCCTACTCAGGAGGATGATCTAAGGATTGCAATTCCAAGCCAGCATAGGCAGCAAAGTCCATGAGACTCATCTCCAATAAACTACCAAGAAGCCTGAAGTAGAACTGTGGCTTAAATAGTAGAGTATGAGCCTTGAGCCAAAAATGCTCAATGATAGCACTCAGGTCCTGAGTTCAAACCCTGGCACGAAAAAAAAAAAAGTAAAAAGGATGTGAAAAAATAATGAAAGGAAGTGAAAAGGAAAGTACCCCTTTCTTACTTTCAAAGAACATTTTATGTATCAGGACTGTGACATAAGCTAATTTTCCAAAGGAAAAATAAAAGGTGTGGGAATGTATGCCTGTATCACCAGATGAACTCAGTTTCAAGGCCAGATTGGGCAACATAAAAGAGATTCTGTCTCTATCCACTAAACAATTCTTCTAGTTAATATGAGATTTACATTCTTTATTAAATGAAAACAAAACATGCTTAACATCTTCCCCCCAAAAATTACTAGATCATCATTCCTGTTTTTAATATTTTACAGTAAATACTTATTAAAAACATTTTTAAAAGCTGAGTATTGATGGCTCACATAATTCTAGCTACTCAGGTGGCAAGAGTCAGAATGTGAAAGCCAACCTAGAGAAAAGTCCCAAATAACCAACAAAAAGTTGGGCTAGATACATGGCTCAAGTGGGTAGAGCACCAGCTAAATAAGCATGAGACCCCCATCTCAAACCCTGGTACTGGCAAAAAATTGAAAAAGTAAAACATCTCTTAAGTCTGTTTATATGCTGACTAAAATATTAATGGTAATTAGTCCTTAAAAGCTGGATGCCAGTAGCTCAAATCTGTAATTCAAGCAACTCAGGAGGTCTGAGATCTGCGGAATCAAGTTATGAAATCAGCATGCACAGGAAAATGTGAGAGATTCTATTTCCAATTAAGCAGTAAAATGCTGGACCGGAGATATAGAAAGGTGTGGTAGAGTGCTGGCTGTGAGCAAAAAAGCCAAGTAAGAACAAAGAGCTCTTAGTTCACAGCCCTGGTATCAGTACACAGTGTTACCTTACAAATTTACTGTGAGAATATTCATTGTTTAATATTTTATTTCAAATTTAACAAAATTTAATACATTTTAATTTAACATTGAAATTTATATGTGAGGATACTGCAGCATTCTCACAGAGGGAAAAATTGTCAATAACTTAAAACACTTTTCTATTATAACGTTTATGTATTTATATAAAGGAATACTTTTTTTTAATCAAGTGAGATAAACATACATGCAACTAGCACATAGATGTCCAATGCCTGTAAAGTTTCCACTGAAACTGTGTGACAGTATCATGCCCTGTGAGTTTAACACTCACAAAAATGCATAGGACATATTTCTAATACATAGTACCAATCAGACATGAGAAAGGGGATTAGTGAAACCAGGAAGTGACTAGTTTTCACATCTGTACAATTTAATGTTCTGTAAGTTATTGCTTTTAAAATAAAACTTTTAAAGACCTTTAACAAATGGAGAACAAAATTAACATTTAAAAAACTTACAGAAAAGTTGGAAATATATTTCAGGTAAACTATCAGGCAATATTTTTGATATATGCTTCAAAAAGCAGTAATTAGTGTTTTTTTTAGTGAAATACAGTACCTGTAAACTGTTCCATTACACATTCAACTTGCTGTACAATATTATTGTGCTATACAAGAGTCCCCAAAACTATAGCAAATACCGTAAGAAAATTGCCTCACCTCTTCTACTCTGCACTGAAGCCACAGGAAAGAAAGACATAGGAAACAGATTAGAAACAGAGAACTCAGATATTTGGAAATAACTATGTTTAAAAGCATTTCTAAGTTAAAGCATGAAAAATAAATGTCTTTATAGTTTTCAGGAGCCATATTAGATTTTACAAAGGTAACAGAAAAGATAAATTCAAATAGCACTGAAGCACATTGTCTTACCAACTCTGTAAGACTACTTACTGATTTGATTCAAAGTTTCCTGAGGAATCCAACTCATGTCAACATCATTTTGACTTGATGTACCCATTTCTACTTTCTGTATGGGTCTCTTGCGCTGAGAGAACATAAAGATTTATTTTAAAGGAATAGCACAGTATTGTTTATTCTACTTTTTAAACATAGATGAAGAAAAGTATGTTAAGTATCTAAACACACAGATTATATTATTGCTTTGATTTTATGTTCTAGCTTTTTTTTTTTTGGTCTGTGGTGGGGCCTGAACTCTGGGCCTGAGCACTATCCCTCAGCTCTTCAGCTCAAGGCTAGTGCTCTACCGTAACTTGAGCCATAGCACCACTTCTGGCTTTTTCGGCTTATATGATACTGAGGAATTGAACCCAGGGCCTCATGCGTGGAAGGCAAGCACTCTACCACTGAGCCACCTTCCCAGTCCATGTTCTAGTTTTAAAACATCGTCCTAGAGCTGGTGGCTCATGCCTATAATTCTAGCTACTCAGGAGGAAACATCATAGTTTCAGGCTAGCCCAGACAGAAAAGTTCACAAGGGTCCAACACCAAAATAACCAGCAAAATGCCAACCTAGCAAACAAGCCAAGTAAGCTCGAGGTGCTGAGTTCAAACTCAGTACCCCCCCCAAAAAAAAACCCAAAAAAGAAATTATTCTTGTAATTAAGTTTCCTACAGCTTATAAAATCTTGTGTAAAGCCAGATGTTGGTGGCCTTACACATTTAATCCTACCTACTCAGGAAGCTGACATCTAAGGATTGTGGTTCAAAGTCAGCCTGTGCAGGGAAGTCTTTAAGACTCTTACTTCCAATTAACCACCAGAAGGTTGGAGTAGAACTGTAGCTCAAAAGGTAGAACACTAGCCTTGAGCACAAAAACTGAGGAATAGCACCCAGGATCTGAATTCAAGGTCCAGTATCAGCATGCACACACACATAATGATTAAAGTAGCATACCATGAAAATGTAATAAATATAAACAGCCAGTCACCAGTGGCTCATTCTTGTAATCCTAGCTACTCAAGAGACCGAGATCTGAGCATCATGGTTGAAGCTGGGCTAGGCAGAAAAAAAGCCATCGAGACTCATTTCCAATAAATTACTTACAACAAGCCAGAAGTGGTGATGTGGCTCAAGTGGTAGAGGGCTAACCTTGAGCACAAAGAGGCTTAGGGTAAGTGCCTAGACCTTGAGTTCAAGCCCCAGGACTGGTTGTTAAAAAAAAGTACAATAAACAGAACAATGACATTTTTCTAAGTCTGAAGAATAAAAACTAATAAAATTAAGAGTTACAATAAATGGTAAATATCACTCACAGGACACTAACTGGAAATACTAATTCAAGTTACATATCCAATGTGCAGTTTTTGATGGTGGGGATTTACAGTTGGGTCTTCTGCTCTCACTCAGCTTTCTTACTCATGACTGTATTCTACCTCTTGATCCCTGCCTCTAGTCCAACATTTTGCTGGTTAATTGGAGATCTCGTGGACTTTTCTACTCAGGCTAGCTTCAAACCTCAAATCCTCCAAGCCTTTAGTAGCTAGTACAGCTATCAGCATTCAGCTGTTTGTTGGCTATTTTGAAAAGACAACGTAAAACTGTAAAAATAGCCATTAAGAACTATGTTGTATTCAGTACAGTAAGAACGTCATTCAGTCTTTAACTTCCACTGCCTAAGCAGAAAATTTTTCTATTTCTCCCTACTTTTAACCATGCTATACTAAAAGAAATCCTTGCTTAAAAAAAAAAGTTGGAGCTGGCAATGTGGCTTAGTAGTAGAGTGCTTGCCTAGCATGCATGAAGCCCTGGGTTCAATTCCTCAGTACCACATAAACAGAACAAGCCAGAAATGGCACTGTGGCTTGAGTGGTAGAATGCAACTGAAGTTCAAAGACAGTGCCCAGGATGTGAGTTCAAGCCCCAGGACTGAAAGAAAGTTGTTCATTCACTCATAATTACCTTTCTAGATTCTAGGAGTTGATGAAGGCCAACAACAAGCAGAAGTCCAAGACCAGCAAGGAACATATACATAAAGATTCTGAGTAAAGAGATAATAGAAACAGGTCATTTGTAGGGAAAAGGAATAAAATACTTTTAACTCAACTTAGATCTAGGCAACAGGTTCTATACATTTCCTTTAGGTATTTAAGTGCAACTGTCAAAAGATTTAAATATAAGTTACAGTAAGATCTTTTTCCAACTAAAAAAGAACTCGCTTTCAAGATGAGTTCTTTCAATTACTAGAAATTAACATTTAGAGGAATTTAACTTTCCATGGAGTAGAAAAGAATTGGATGGAAACCAAAATATTACTTTTACAAGACATTTTTGTCAGTTTCAACTATCTTTCCTGCTTAGTAAAGCATTAAAGTATAAGAATCACCTAAGTATGGACCTCTGTGCTAATGATTTCACCACATCACATCTGTACAGTCAATTCCATTTTGTTCACCTAAAAACATACTTCCATTCCCATCTTATGAGATATCAAGACCTACAGACTATAACTTTCACTTACGTTTCTCCATCCAACCCATCCTCTCTTTCAATAACTGTAACTGTTTGATTGAAGACAGCATCTTGGAACACATTGCCCTAATTAAAAAATAATTATAAATTTCAAAAACATGCCATTTATTGAAAAAATAAAAGCCTGCAAGATTTCTTAAGTTACTCTGACAATATAACTTTCTCATCACTTATATTTTAAAACTCAGCAAATACCTAACTGTGTTCAAAATTATGAAATTAATTTCTCTTACAGGATTAAATATGTCTCCAACTTTGCCAAAGTTGCTCTCCATTTACAGCAGGGAATGGAAAGATGGTGGTACGAAGAACCAAGAAAATACAGTAAAAATTATACAAAATATGCAGAAAGAAAGCTCACAGAGCATTCCACATTAGCAGTTCTAGCTTCTGTTTACAATCTTTAAAAAAAAAAGCAAGGAAGGACACATGAAAATGTACAATAGTTGTAACAGCAGATAGTGTCAAGACACAACACAGACCTAAACCAAATCAAATGCATACTCTAAACTAGAAATGGGCTGGTAGTAATTTCTTCATAATAAATGGGCTGGTGGTTTTCAGTATCAAACTATTTTTTTTTTGCTAGTCTTGAAACAATTTTTAACAGGTGGAAAAGACATCAGAATCACTAGAACATATTCTAAGAGTATGCCTCTTAATATTTGGTGCTTCACATGAAGGTATTACTATTACAACACTGTCACAAACTGCTAAATAGTAATTATGTAAATTGTATTTCAAGGTCTTTCAATGATAATCCCAGGTGCTGGTGGCTCAGAACTATAATGCTAGCTATCAGGAGGCTAAGATCAGAAGATCTAAATTTGAAATCAGCCAAAGCAGACAAAATCAAGTGACTTTTATCTACAATTAACCAGCAAAAAACTGGGAGTGGAAATGTGGCACAAGTAGTAGAACACCAACTTTAAGCAGAAAAAAGTGAAGCAAGACCATGAACCCTGAGTTCAGGCTTCTGTACTGGCTACAAAAATAAATAAGCCGGGCGCTGGTGGCTCACGCCTATAATCCTAGCTACTCAGGAGGCCGAGATCTGAGGATCTCGGTTCAAAGCCAGCCTGGGCAGGAACATCCATGACACTCTTATCTCCAATAAACCACTAGAAAACCAAAGTGGCACTGTGGCTTAAGCAGTAGAGTGCTCACCTTGAGCTGAAGAGTACAGGGACAGTACCCAGGCCCAGAGTTCAAGCCCCATGACTGACAAAAAATAAATAAAAATAAAATAAAAACAAAGTTACTTAGTAGTAGAGAGGTAGACTTTTCATCCTTTTCTCAAAATAATAGTTATATAACTTGAGGGGCTGGTAAGATGGCTCAGTGGTAGAGTACTTGACTTGCATGCATGAGGCCCTGGGTTTGATTCCTCAGCACCACATAAGCAAAAAGAAAAAAGCTGGAAGTGGCGCTGTGGCTCAAGTGGTAGAGTGCTAGCCTTGAGCTGAAGAGCTGAGGGACAGCGCCCAGGCCCCAAGACGGACCTCTCCCCCCCCAAAAAAAAGAAGTTATATAACTTGAGAATAATCTATCTCATGTCTCACTGAAGTAAAATTAAATTTAATTTAGTTGGCACTGGAAATAGGTTTTATTAGGACACTGAGGTGTTATTTAGGACATTTGAGTCTCATAAATTAGAACTAAGATATACACTCTGCTGCTAAAACTATCCTTATAAATCTTGTATTTTACCATAAGCACATAAAATGATAGGAAAAGTGACAGTCTTTAGCAACAGTGAAATGAGCAAAAAGCAAGCAACAAGGACACATAGTAACACCTAAGAAGTAGACTCCACTAATGGCTTACTTCCTTTTAAGATCTAGCTCAAGTCACTTTCACACCACACAACAGCATCTAATTGCAGAGCTCTAATATAAATCACATCCGTTTTAGTGCCTGTTTTTTGTTTATGACCATCTTCCCCTCTAGACTTCAGACAGAAATTGTTGTATTGTTGATAGTTTCAACCACAAAACAGGCACCTGAATACGGTATATATAAAATAATGTAACCTATCCTACCCATCTCTAACATAAACAAAACAAAAGTCAAACTGCAAAGGCTTAGAAGGCCTTACATTCAAATCCTTGTAGTTCAAATTGATGACCAGACCAAAGGGCCTTCCACCCATGGGCTCTGCAGGAATGAAGGAATACTCAAAAGTTGCCTGTCTTTGGGGCTGCACTACAGTGTTCAGAGGAAGAGCTGTGAAATTCTGGATGTAAAACTGGTAGTCCTGAGGATAACGGAACGAGGCATCTAAGGATTCAACAATAAAATCTTCTGTACCCTTGTTTGTGAAGCCTACCAGGAACTTCACAATGTTATTTGCTGGAAAATCTAAAACACAAAAGACAAGAAATCAGTACACATTTTCAGAGTAATAAAACAAAAGAGATAGTATTAACAGATTCTGGCACAATTTTCTGCACACATGGAAATGACTTCAGAATTGTTTTTAACTGAGTGCTCTAGTCACACACTAGTAACTGATTGGAGCAATGATAAAAGCTTAAACTCTTTCATCTGTACTGTAGGATTCCCACTAAGGAACTGAACTGAGAATGACAATTTCAGGCTGAGTTATTTCCAAATTTTGTGGTCCAAGAAAGACTTCTGCACTTTAGTCAGCATAATTATGAAAGTTACCTGTGCAAATAAATGGAGGGAATGACAAAGAAAAAGTCTAGCATTTCATCTGAAAATTGGTTATCCCAATTAGGCAATTAAGTCAAACTGAAAATTGAACATAATGGAAAAAAAGTCATTCAAATTATACTTTTTGTAGGCATAAAGTTGGAATATGTATAATAAGACAGAAAACATTTTGAAAACACCAGGAAAATTAATAATTTCTATTATCAAGTTTTCTGTAACTAATTTGTATTGTAGTCTACTAAGCAGTTTTACCCAGTATTGTACAGGCTAGGTGTCATGTAAGTCTGAGTATGAATTCTATCTCCACAATCTATTTGCAAACTGGATAGTGTTGGGACACCCGGTTAGGGTTAAACCATACATACAAAGTTTTGAGAACATTCCCTATCACAGAACCCTCAGTAAATGCAACAGCTTTAGATTCACAGGTTGAACATCCCTAAAGACTTAAAACGCTCTAGAATCTGAAGCTTTCTGAGCACTGACAAGGATGCTGTAAGTGGTAATTCCACCTGGTTTCAAGTGATGGGCACACTGAAAATATTGCATAAAAGTACCTTTACAGGGCTAGGAATGTGGCTGAGCGGTAGACTTTTGCCTAGCATGCATGAAGCCCTTGGTTCGATTCCTCAGTACCACATATACAGAAAAAGCTGGAAGTGGTGCTGTGACTTAAGTGGTAGAGTGCTAGCCTTGAGCAAAAGAAGTTCAGGGACAGTGCCCCCAGGACTGGCAAAAAAAAAAAAGTACCTTTACATTATATAGATAAGGTACACATGAAATTTCACGTGTGGACCTGGATTCCATGCACAAAATACCCCATTATTTATAAACAAACACTAAAAAAATAAAATAAAAACTAAGGGCTGGGAATATGGCATAGTGGTGGAGTGCTTGCCTAGCATGCATGAAACCCTGGGTTTGATTCCTCAATACCACATAAACAGAGAAAGCCAGAAGTGGCGCTGTGGCTCAAGTGGTAGAGAGCTAGCCTTGAGCAAAAGCAGCTCAGGGACAGTACCCAAGCCCTAAGTTTAAGCCCTAGTACGGGCACACAAAAAATTAAAAAATAAATAAATAATAAAAATTAAACTCCGAAACAGAACAAAACAAAAAACAACTGCCAAAAAGACCCAGACCACCACCACTACAAAAACAAAAACCCTGTAACATTTCTGGTGCAAAGTATTATTCAACCTGACCTAGTCGTGAACCACAGTTTAATAATTAATATTTCACTAATATGCAAACATTAAAGAATATAACAGAATTTCTAGCTGGACATGGTGGTACACAACTGTAATTTCAAAGCCTAAGAGGCTAAAGCAGGATGATCACAAGTTTGGGGTCAGTCTGAGCTACGAAGCCAACCTGGGCTATATAGTAAGATTCTGTCTCTATGATCAAAGATTTGGGAGCTGAGGAAGAAGAAGGCAGTAGTGGATTGTTCTGAGCAAGGTACAGGCACTACTGAGGGGTGCAAGTGGATAACATGGTACCTGTGGGAGTGAGGAAGGCATGTACAGTACTTAAGTATATGTCTTGATAAGGGGGAAGAATGACAGGAAAGCAAAACAAGTTCTGTTGGGGAAATAGGCAACAGTGGGGAGGAAAAGACTAACAAAGAAGGTGAATACGGATGAATATGGTCTGAGTAATTTGTATGTGTGAAAATAGTGAAACATGATAAAATTGTTTTGGGAAAGTAAGAATAGATAGAGAGTGATAGGGGATTAATACATTATGCAAATGTGAAAACTGTTACAATGGAACCTTCCTTATACAAATAATATATGTAAATAAAATGCTCAAGTAATAAGAAAAAGTATATACATATATAATATCTCTGTATGTATGTATAGATAAATGTATATATGTATGTATGCATGTACAAAATTCCTCTGCAGAGCCACTTTGTAAAACAAATTTAAACACAGTATCTTTAAGGCTCCAGGCACCAGATGCTTAGCCTATAATCCTAGCTACACCAGAGGTCGACATCTGAGGCTCAATGTTCCAAACCAGCCAGGGCAGGAAAATCAATGAGACTCTTATCTCCCATTAACCACTAAAAAGTCAGATGTGGAGCAGTGGCTTACTTAAGTATAGAATGCTCAAGGACAGTGCCCAGATCCTGAGTTCAAGCCTCAAAACTCACACCAAAAACAAAAACAAACAAAAAAAAATCCCAGTAACTTAGTTTTTGTTTTTTGGGTAGTACTGGGGTTTAAACACAGGACCTTGTGCTTGCTAGGTGGGCACTTCATCACTTGAGCTATGCCTACAGTGCTGAAAAAAGTATCTTTGAAAAGGACATTCAATTCCTAAGTAAACCATATGACTTGTTTTTCTCTTTAGTTTAAATGCCAGCAACACCACAGATACTAGTATTCATACTTATCAAATTTCCAATATTCTTGTATGTGTAATATTGTAATATATGTTACATAAAAGAGGAAGATGAATAAGATTTTTAGATATTACTAATGCTTCCCCCCCAAAAAAAGCAAGTTCAAGATTGAAACATCTCTTCCTATACATGAGTTCAAATCAGTAATTCTGCATTACCTTCTCCTTTTACAAACAAAATAGTTGTATCTGCACTTGGTGAAGCTTCAGGTTCACCAGACACATCTTCTTCCTCTTTATCTTCCGCCTAAGAAAAACAATATTGAACAGGGATTACTGTGAAAGTAAAACACATTTTTAAATAAAAAACGTCACCTAATTTAGAACAAAATAATGCTTCTTCATAACTCTTGCAGACCAGGGGCTGGGAAGGTGGCTTAATGGTAGAGTGCTTGCCTTGCATACATGAGACCCTGGGTTCGATTCCTCAGCACCACATAAGCAGAAGAAGCTAGAAGTGGCACTACGGCTAAAGTGGTAGAGTGCTAGCCTTGAGCTGAAGAGATAAGGGACAGCGCCCAGGCCCAGAGTTCAGGCCCCATGATAGACACACGCACAAAAAAAATTGCAGAACAGCTAGGTGCCGGTGGCTCACACCTGTATTCCTAGCTACTCAGAAGGCAGAGATTTGAGGATTATGGTTCAAAGTTTTGAGTCTATGAGACTCTTATCTCCAATAAACCACTAGAAAACTGCAAGTGGCGCTGTGGCTCAAGTGGTAGAGCAATAGCCTTGAGCTGAAGAGCTCAGGGACAGTGCCCAGGCCCAGAGTTCAATGCCCACAACTGACAAAAAAAAATTGTAGAACAGTCCATCTGAGTGTGCATACCAACCCACTAAGAATCTAGCAGATCTGTTTCAGACTGAAGGTTTCAAGCATCCAGGAACAACCAACACTTATAGTAATGGACCAGTTTGAAAGGAAAAAAAATGAATCTGAGTGCTGGTAGCGAGTTGTGGTTCAAGTGTTGTATAGCGCTAGCCTTAAACACAAAAGTTCAAGACAGTGTACAGGCTGAGTTCAAACCAGAGGTCTGGCATAAAATAAAACACACACACACACACACACACACACACATATATATATATATATATACACACACACATATAGTGTACTCCCACAGAAATAGTAAAATTAGCTAGAAGATTCTGTCACACTGTTAATTACATGGTAAAAACTTCAGAGTATACAACTTCTAGGCAACCTTCTCTAATCCCTGTATACTCTTCAAAGGACATCTGCTCCTTATCTCTTAACACCAAAACACACATATACCGTTTCTGAGACATGGAAATTCCAAGAGCAAGTATCTTACCTGCTCATTTCAGCTTTCAGAACAGTGCCTGACAGAGTCAAGGCACACTGAATATGATTCAATGAATACTTAGTACATGAAAACAAACACATACAAAAAAAAGCAAAGTTACAAAAGACAAGCTGAAAAACCAAGCTCCATGGACTCCAACATCTTATGGTCCAGGGTCAGCCTTCTCTACTGTTATCTATCTACATTTACATCTATATGATCCTGAATAATTCTTTTAAGTGTCTCCTGTCTCCTTCCCTACTCCAGAAAATACATATATTCATGCTCCACCTCAATAATTAGACCCTATTCTCCCAACTTCAAGCCACTTTGAATATAAATTCTTAAAACCCCATAAAATAATTTTAATACTAAACTTGTCTATAAAGAGTAAATTGTTAATGCACTGTATAAATCTACATTAAACAGTGTATAACACTAACCAAATCTGTGGGTTCATCTTCTTCTACCTCAACTTCATCATCTTCAACTTCAATTATTGAATCTTCCACTGTTTCTTCATCTTCTGTAAGATCTTGAGCCACTACTAATGACCCTAACAATAAAATATAAAATAAGCAGTTACCTTGTACCTGAATACCATTGTTTCTTTAAAAATCAGGGATAGGCAAGAAAACGTTCCCCCTGAAATAACTCAGTCTTCTGAATCACTTTAATGATGCTAAACTATGCATGTAAAAATAGACACTATTTTTTTTTCTTTGCCAGTCGTGGGGCTTGAACTCAGGACCTTGGCACTGGCCCTGAGCTTCTTTTGCTCAAAGCTAGCACTCTACCACTTGAGCCAAAGCTCCACTTCTGGCTTTCTGTTTATATAGTACTTAGGAATTGAACCCAGAGCTTTATGCATGCTAGGCAAGCACTCTACCACTAATCCCAATCCAAAAATAGACTATCTTATGTAGCAGTCTTTACTATATATTAATTTTAATGGGAACTGCTGTTTAGTTAGACAACGCACTTGACTTGAAAAAATGAACTACAGAAATTGGCTTTAAGTCCAAAATAAGAACTGCAAGCAATTTTGTTATACAAATTAAGAAAAACAAATTTGAGCTGTGTGTGGCATGCCTCTAATCTTGTCTATAACCTCAGCACTTGGTAGTCTGAACATAATGTTAAACTCAGCCTGGGCCAAATTGTGAACACTTGTCTCAAAAAACAAAAAGCCTGGCATGGTGGCTCAAGCATAAAATCCTCACTAGTTGGGAGGTGGCAATCTAGAGATTGTGGTTCAAGACTATCCTCAGCACACAAGTTTAAGAGACTCCATTTTAACCAATGGCTGGACATGGATGTGTGCATCTATCATTCAAAGCCATCCCAGGCTACCAGGGAAGCATAACTGGTGGGCAGTGGTACAGGACTGTCATCGTGACAAAGGGAAGCACAAAAAGGAGGATCAATGTCCAGACCCTTTCTTGGCAGGGTGACTCAAGTGGTAGATTACCTACTTAGCAAGCATGAGGCCCTGAGTGCTAACTCCAGTACACTCTCTCTCTCTCTCTTTCTCTCTCTCTCTCTCACACACACACAGGAATTTTCTTACAAAGGCAAGAAATTCCTACAATGAAAACAAAAACAAAAGGCTTGGTCTAAAAGAAAATATCATTCTCAGTATTAGACAAGAAACTGATATGAGAGTTGACTATAATTGGCAACTTACATAAGCTACACTATTTCAGGCAAGAGCCTCAAATATTCATTTCAAAGTTCTAACAAGCCTTTGACCACTTCTCAGAAAGAATGATGATGTGGCAATTTAGTAGAGGAAAAACTGTGGGAAGAGACACATGTTCAAGGCCCAGGGCAATGCAGTGTGTGTGCATATGTGTACCATTCTTTTCAGTCTTCACCTCATTAAGTCCTTATTGGCTAAAAAAGGACTAAAGTGGCATATTTACAACTTGCAAATTATTTTCAAAAGCCATTTTAAACACAAAATCTCCAGCCACTCAACAAAAAAACAGACACTTCACTTTTCTCTGCCTTGCAGCTACGGAGCAGCCGGAGGACACTAATCATCATCACTCACTCAGCCACACAGACTGCTCAAACTTAAGAGAATGGAAAGACGTGTAGTGATCACTTCGACTTATTATTTCACTTAATAAGGTAGAAAATCGAAGTTGATAACAATGCCGGGGCAATTCAGTTCCATCTCCATGGTTTTGTTTTCTGCCATATTAAGTTATTTTTGCCCCAGGTTAACCACTGGAATGAAAAAAGCTATACTTCAAAAAGTAAAACTTCAGAAGGGCGTCGGTGGCTCAAGCCAGTAATTGCAGCCACTTAGGAGGCTGAGATTCCCCCACTGCCAGGACCCAAAGTCCAATCGACTCTTATCTCCAAGTAACCACCAGAAAGACAGAAGTGGTGCTGTGGCTCAAGTAGTAGAGTGCTAGCCTTGAATGGAAAAAGCTAAGGGACAGAGCTTAGGCCGAGTTTAGGCCTCAGTAACACACCACAAACACACACACACACAGTTAAACTTGCCATAGTTCAGGCCCCAGTAACGTTACACACACACACACACACACACACACACACACACACACACACACACACAGTTAAACTTGCCATAGTTCAGGCCCCAGTAACGTTACGCACACGCGCGCGCACACACACACACACACACACACAGCTTGCCATACACCCATTCTATTTTTTTTTTTAATACGACGTTTCCAGCCAACAACAACAAAAGAGCAAATGGCCGTGCAGAGGGAAGGGACGAAGGCGGGCTAACCAGCGCGCAGGGGCGCAGAGCTTGCCAACCGGGGCTGCGGACCCCGGGAGGTTCTGAAGTCGAGCCTCCCACGGGGATCCGGCGCGGAGAAGCGAGCCAGTGGGCCGGAATCGCGAGGCGGTGAGAGCCGAGGCCGGCCGACCACGGGCGCGAGCGCGAATGAATGGGGAGCTGGCGGG